GTTATCTTTGACAGTGGTCAACTTAATAATGCTTCCTCATCTGAACTCCCTCCTCTTTCTCTCTGTTTCTTCTCTTTCTCACATCTCCTTCTGGGCAACACATTTCTCAATACAGTCCCCGTACACACAGGCTGCGTCTTGAGCTCTGTTTTCTGAAAAACCCAGACCGAGACCCTGATCTCCCTAGAAACAATGGAGAAGGAGAAAAATCTTCTGTTCCCAACCCCATTTCTCTTATTTTATCATGGAAACGGGGGGGGGGGAACAGGGGGAGGGGTAGCAGTTGGGAGATACAGGCAGATTTGTTGAGACATTAGATCATTCGATGAGCAAAAGAATTTGGGTGTGGGTACCACAAGACAGGCAGAACATTCTTAACTTTGGAGCTTTGTTCGGGTTCCCTGAATGAAAAGGAAAACATGTATTTGGGAGGCTGAATGAAGCCACAGGTGATTGTCTCTCTAATCAAATGTTCAGTTTCTCCATCCCTTGTAGCTTTTCTCTCCTAGTGCTAAACCATCACGTTAGTGTTTTCCTCCCGTAAATAATCACTGACACTTTTTAAACGCTCAGCAGCTCTATGAAGCAGACACCATTAGCTACAACGCCTGACGGTGACAGGCGAGAAACTTGGCAAATGACGGAGGCGCCGATGCCCTGGAGCACATGACCAGAGCGCTGGGGTTCAGTCATAGAAGAACATGGAGCTGCTGTTGCTTGGTTTTCTTCATTGTTTTTCAAAAGGAGTTGGACATTCAGACCTTACTATGAAATCGTCTGCTTCTCAAAGGTTGAAAGCCAATTAAAAATGTTGAGACCGTCAAGAAGACACTGTCCACGGGCCCACTGTAATGCCTCGGAATTTTCCACCCTCCCTTTCCATCCCCAGTATTTAATTGGTTTCATCAAATTCCACACTGTCCATTCATGGGTACTGATAGACAGCACAGCTGGGATAATTTCCGCTGGCGGCAATTAATTGAATATTTCAAAGTAGCTAACAGAGAGGATTTTGGAGTGTTTCTAACACAAGGAAGCAACTCGTGTCCGCCGTAGTTAGGGTTTCTCCTGCTGTGGTACAACATCAAGAACAAAAGGAACCCAGGGAGAAAAGGCTTGTCTCCTTCTACTTCCGCATCACTCCATCACTGGGAGAAAAAGTCAGGCAGGAACTCAAGGCAGGAACCTGAAAAGCAGAGCCCATGGAATAAGGCTGCTTTATTGGCTTGCTCCTCCTGGCTTGTTCAGCCTGCTTTCTTATATAGCCCAGCAGTAGAAGCTTTTTTGAGACATTGAACTCATAGTAAATCCGTTTAATTGATTTTTATTTAGAAATCACACATATAATTGATATGCTAGTGTGTCGTGTGCTGGTTCATGGTGGAAGGTTTGCAAATGTATACAACTTTAAGGGAGAAAAGACAAAGTTGAAAATCACAAGACATATTTTATACAAGTAATTTTTCAGCCATTAACTCAAAGGAAAGAGCCATGCAATCACTGGGTGGAAACGCTTCATTATTTTTGAAAAATCTTAGGCTAGCACTTTTGGGTATAATCATTTGAAGGTCAGGTTGAAAGTATTTGTTTTGTCCATGGTTTTGAGAATTGACAGGCTGTGAAGCAATCGCAGAGACCTGGAGATTGAAAAGAGATGTGCGTTCTTGGCTGTGCTTTCCGTATAGTGATGGGCAATTTTCATGCCCACCTCCCAGTTCTACGGAGGATGTTGTAGTCATTTGCCGAGCGGATTTTCACAGTGCGTCCATCCATTCATTGTCTCTGCAAACAAATCCAGCTGCGGTGTTTTAATATTTTGAACAGATGCGTTCAGGATCCTCTGCAATTCTTTAAAAAGTTTGCGTGTGTGCATGTGTGTGTATGCATCTCTCTCTCTCTCTCTCTCTCTCTCTCTCTCTCTCTCTCTCTCTCCCTCCCTCCGTGTGTGTGTGTGTGTGTGTGTGTGTGCCTATACACATACAGGCCAGAGGTCAAAGTTGTGTGTCTTCTGCCACTACCTTACTTTTCTGAGGTATGATGACACTGAACCTGGAACTCACTGATTGGCTGGCCTGACCGGCTGGCTCCAGGGACTCCTGTCTCTGTAGTAAGGATGATGGGGATCTGAATTGAGGGCCTCATGCCTACACTTTACACACTGTACTTTACACTTTACACAAGTACTTTACAAACTGAACCATCTCTCTAGCCTCAGAAATTTTTGTTTATAAGATTTTTAAACTTATAAACTTTATAAAATTATTTTTTCAAGTTTTTATGCAATACACAAGTGACGGATTTTGTAATTAACACACTGGCAGCGCTTGAATCAATAAAATCTCAAAACAGTGGAAACATTTAAAATGTCCATTCTTAACGCTCTTTCTTTCATATAACCCTCTTTCCAAAGCAGTTCCATTCCTACACGTCTTTTTGGTTTTTTAAGTCACCTTTACCCTGAAAGGGCAGATTACAGATGTTTAATTAAAAAAAAAATCTAATGGCAACAGGAACCTGTCAACACTGGGAAGGTCAACAAATTTGGAAAACACGGATGGTTTTGGTACCTCTCATCGCTAAGTACAGCAAGTGTGCCAGAGACCCTCTGAGTAGAACAGAACCACTGCCCAGCCACAAACCACAAAGTACCCGCAGATACTACTCCTTAAATTCTCCTCTCTGCCACCAGGCAAACTGTGGCAAGGCATAGCAGACTGAGACTGAAGGAGGGGACTTTGCAACATTCTACAGGGTGGGGAAGCCCTTGCTGCAGGAGCCCCCCTGCACTCCAGGAGACACAGGGCTGCTTCATGAGTGGATCACTGAGGGTGACCGCGCCACCCCACTCGCTAAATCCTAATAAATCTTAATTCCTTTGTTATTTTCAAAATAGAAACTAAAAGTCAATGAAGGCTCTCTGATTTTTCTTCCCACATCGGGTGCTTTGGGGACCACTGACTTATTGGGATGGAGTCCTCATACCCTCCTCCTTCCGACTCAGTGCAGCATCTATGAGAACGAGTGTTTGTTGACATTCCGTGTGCCAGTTCTGGTCCATACTCTTCCCAGGGAGCAACCCACCCACTCTCAGAGAGCAACCAATAAGAGAATGCCACTTTCATTCCCTTGGCACAGTTGAGAACGACAGGAAAAGGCGCTGAGGGACTAACCCAAGATTTGAAGGCTAGTAAGTGGTACAGGCGGGATTCGAACCTAGTGAGTTTGAGTTCAGAGTACACCCTGAAGCGCTCTGCTGAGGCCTCTCTACTTACTAGGGCTGTGCAGAACCCACTCATGTGCTGGCCCTTTAAGTCTTGGATGTGAGGGTTCCAGTCTGAAATGTCCCCCCGCAGATTCGCGCTCTGAACCCTCAGTCTCCAAAGTGTGTCATTTTGAAGGATGTGTAACGTTTAAGATGTGTGGCCTGGGTGGCAAAAGTAGGTCACTGGGGGCAGGATTCGAAGGCTACATCCACCCCGGGCTGGCTTTCTCTGCTTCCTAATGCAGCACAGTGTGAAAAGCTGCAGCTCTGCACCCCCATGCCGCTGACAGCAACCCTGCTTCTCCCGCCATGATGGACTGCAACCTCTCCAAAACCCCGAGGCAAAATAAACCTTTTCTCCCACAGCCTGTTTCCAGGAGTTGTGTTGGTTACAGCCACACAGCAGCCACTAACACAGGAGGATCCGATGACATCGGTTTTGCCTGGACCAATCCCTCAAGGTTTCATGGTGGTGGCGAAGACCCCAGTAGCCTTCTTTCACCCTGTTAGAGCATAAATTGACACTTTGCAGGGCCACAGGGCCCACCGGCATGGCTATTTCCCTGCATGCTGTTCCAGGCATGCCCGAGTCAAGCTAGATCAACCATACCCTTTCCTGGGGTTTGCAGTTTAACTGAGTGACAGGGGGACTAGGCGGAGTGGCTCTGGCCATAGGAAGAAAGATATTATTGCAAGGCAATCAATACATTGCAGCTTTCCAGAGAATTCTTGAAAATCCCAGAGTCATTCCGCCCTGTGAGTCTGGTGATCAAGATCTTTTCAGATGCACTAAAGAAATCCCAGTGTCGTTCCCTGAATCCATTTTCATTTGCTTAAATGAGCAGTTCCAACTTAGCGAAGCTACGGAGCTCCTTGGGCTGTTTCTCTACCCTCCCTCAGCCCGCGGATCACCAGGGACTGGGGTTCAGTTTGTTCGCAGGCTGTAAGGCCCTTGTACATCCTCGCTGCTTCCTAATCTCTGAAGTTCCAGAGCCCAGCACTCCCTGTGCCCCAGAGCCGGTATCGGCAGACCCTTGCTGAGCTCACACCTGGATGGGTCCATGTAGCCCAGTGCCACCACACATGGTCGTCCATTCTCTGTCTGCTGATCGTCACAGCAAGAGCCTGGAGAATACTGTCTCTGCAAAGAAAATCCAGGTTGGAATCATTAAACACGTTTAAAAAAATGACCTTTACCTGCTGAAAGCGTAATCCATTAATAATGTGCCTTGTGCTAGAGAGATAATGGGGACCTCCTGCCGCGGACTTAAAGAACTATAGGAATTTGGGGGCCCCAGTCTTCCTCCAAAACTGCTTTATCCCCCTGAAGTTCAGACAGTGGGGCACACGCAGACCTCTGTGGCTGCAGGAGGAGGAGCATGTGTAGGAGGGATTCGAATCAGGGGAGAAGCCTCAGGCAGGTGCTCCGGTGAATCCTCTCAAAGGATAGCCCAGCAAAAGGCTCCAGCCTGGCTGTCCTCACTCTGATTAACAGTAGGGAAACTTATGGTCTCTAACAATGGGCCCAAGCAGAGGTCTAGGCTGAACTAGCATTCAGGTTGGGTTTTGTGACTCTGTAGGATGTAGCTGCTCCACCCACAAGCCCCCAAGACTTCCAGTTCCCAACTCTCTCCCAGGGACGGAAGGAGTCGCTGTCACTTCTGATTCATAGAGTCACGGAGTCTCCAGGTTGGAAAGACGTTAAAGGTCACCTTTGCTCCTGACAGAGATTTACTGCCTCCTGAGGCCGGCCACTCCATCTCATAGAGCTCTGACAGGTATAATATTCTTCGCATAGAACCTAGCCAGACCTCTGCGCCACGCTGGGGCCACCACTCTAATCAGAGACGATCCTGGGGTTGGAGAAACAGTCTGTCCAAGGTGAAGACAATAAGAGAAAACATTGTCCTTGTAAAATGCGAAAACAATAAAACCAACCGGTTTTGCTGGTCTGCATTTAAAAAAATAGACATGTATGCCATGGGAGTATATGCATATGAATGCAGGTACCTGCAGAGACCAGAAGAGGGCACCAGAGCCTCCTGGAGCCAGAGTTGCAGGTGACTGTGAGATGCCTGTTGTGGCTACTGGGGATCAAACCGGGGTCCTCTCTAAGAACTGTGTGTGTTCTTAATGGCTGAGTCACATCTCCAGCCCCTGCTCTTTCTCTTGTCACCATTTACCAGCAGCTTCCAATAGCATCAGTGGTAAAAAAATATTCCTCTTAAACAAAAGCTTCTGTTGATTGAATTCTAAATGGTGGTTAAAAGTTACTGTTGAATTTTAATAATATTGAGTATAGACTGTTCTTTTCTCAAGTACATTTTGATTACTTATTCCTAGTGACACTGTGTTCCACCTGGGCCCGAATTTGGAGCAGTTTCAAAACTGGCCCCCAGTACTTGCAAACTCAGCTATGTGTGCTCATTTCCAGAGAAAATTCTTAAGGTTTGGATCCATTCCAGCTTCTGCGAGCACAGTAGATGTGTCTAACTCCTACGACCCTACGGATCCCAGATGCAATGGTAAATTCAAAGTAAGCACTGCAATGGCGAAGAGAGAAAAGATTAGAAACGGAGTTTCTTCAATTCTATGTGAACGCTATGTTTTGTTTGTCTGTTCTTCAATTTTGAAAAGCACCCTAGCAAGAACTGCAAAGTTCTATAGTTTCTGTTTGGTGGGTGCACCTGGTTGTTCCTCTGCCCTGTGTATGGAGACTAGCTTTGCTACTGAAATAGGCAGGCTGGAGAGATGGCTCAGTGGTTTCGAGCACTGGCTGCTCTTCCAGAGGACCCAGGTTTGATTCCAGAACCCACATGGCAGCTCACAACCATCAGTAATTCCAGTCCTAAGGAATCTGATGTCCTAATCTGGCTTCCATGGGTACTGTACGTATAGAATATACAGACAGTGTATATCCAGGCAAACACTCATACACATTAAATAAAAATAAATAAAATATCAAAAGAAACCTGAAATAATATTCTTTTTAACTTCTAATTTTATAATTGAGGGACATTTGAGGAAAATAAAGCTGTACTATTAGCATACTGTGGGTGAGTTCTCCCTTTAAAAAGCCATACTAACATGGAATAAAAATGTTAACCCATTAACGTTTTCTTTAATCCTGTAATATTGCTTATAATTTTTACTGATGTAATTATTATTAAATTTTTGATACAGGATATCTAGTCCAGGCTAGCTTCAAACACCCTACGACGTAGCTGAGGATGACCTTGAACTCCTGATCCTCCTGCCCCAACCTCCCAAGTACTAAGATTGTAGGCAAGTATCACTATACAAGGTTTATACAGTACTGGGACTCTGCCTGCCAGGCAAGCAGTCTCCTAGCTGAGCCATCCCCCAGACGGAAGTCAGTTTAATAAAGAAAATTTTTGTTGTCTGCTTTTCCTCTGTGGTCATTATCAATCTATTTTTCTAATCTGCTAATTACAGAAAGCAATCTTGTACGGCTAGAGGAGAGGTCACTCAGCAGTCATCCATCCCAAATGTCAAGATCAGGTGCCTCGCAGAGTTGGGTTTCTTCTCCCAGTACAGCTCTAGTGTCTGCAACTTCCCATCAGGCGCCCCTTGAACTTTTCCGTAATCATCCAGCTCTCCCAAATGCCCTCATGATAACTCTGAGTCTTTCCGCCAGCCTTGCCACACACTTATCAATCATTAACCACTCACCGAGTTATGCGATAATGCATGTCTCTCACATGACCCTATGGAGCGTATTTTCGTGTAATGGCTGAGAATACTGAGGCTCCAAACCACACAGTCGGTGTGTGGCAGAGTGGAACAGAAAGCAAGGAGCACTAGATAGCAGCAAACCTGGGTTCTTAACCGTGGACAATCCTGCCCCTCCTCAATCATTATCCCTGTCATGTATGGTCCAGTTAGTCTGCGCTGCCCTCTTCTTGCTGGCCTTCGGATGGAGAAACACACATACCCTGCCTCCAAAGCACAAACACTCCATGTGGACGGTGTCTCTTTTGTCATTCCGGAGTTCTGCTTGTGCTGATGCTGCCGCGAGCTTACTGGTTTATGAGAAGCTGCAGCAGAAAGAATGGATCCCAGGAGAACATCCACGAAAGCTAGGATGGGTATTTAGGATCTGTGAGGTCAGAGGGTGCAAAGGAGCAAACCCTGAGATACGGCAGAGCGTCCTCCATGCTATTTCAGTGAAGGCACAAACATTGCCAAGCCCCAAAGAAAATCGTACACTAGCCCCCACCTGTAGCCATCTCAGTGTCTAGAGGGCCTGATGGGGACTAGAACCCAGACCGAGCAGAAGTGACCAGCAAACAAAGTGCAGATCATGCCTTAGAGGTAAGCCTGCCTGACTCCAGGGAGCCTGGGCAGAAAGTTGGGCAGGCTCCAAGGAACGGACACATCCTGCTAGACTTGTGGCCCTTCATCATCTATCAGGGGCTCAGAAGACTAAGCTGGAGGCTCGCAGGTGCCTGTGCCAGCCCCACTCTGTGTGCCTTCTTTAAAGAGGCTCAAGAAAATGCCACTGACCCCTTGGGCCCTAAAATTTCCTTAAAATATTGCTATTATATGACCATTACTGAGACCACCTTCTGAAGTCCATTTGTTAGAGAGAAAAGACCCTTGGAAAACTTACCAACCATCTTCTGCTCCCATTTTCCTCCATGTGAGATGGGCATAGCAGGCCTGCCGAATCCAGTCTGAGTGACTCAGGGAGCTCAAGTCTGAATCAGTTTGTTCTTTCATGCTAGGTGTGGTATGACCACCAATCCTACCTCTGCTCTTTGCCCCTGAAGTTGCCCCAATATACTCAGGAACTTTTGATATCAATACAAGGCATGCTCTAATCCTTGTGCATGGTCATCTCTTGCAGCCCTGGATATAGATTGCTGAGATGTTTAGGGTCCCAAGTAAGCGGCATTTCTGTCTCCCTGGGACACCGAGACTCTCAGTGGGCTGGATCTTTGGTTTCAATAACAAAACGTGGGCACCTGCTATATCTCTGAGAGTGGAATTCCATTCTGCTGCTGGGAGTGGAGAGCTGGGGCTCATTCTCCAATGGGAAAAAAAAAAAAACTAGCAGAACTAAGGATACAGCAGTGGCCCCAATACCCAGTGTAAAAGCCAGAGTCGGGAATGGGTTGTGGACCTTAGAGAAGGTTGGAGAGGTGCGGGGTCCTACCTGCTCCAGAGCAGTGATGATGCAGAAATGAGATGTCTGAAGAACAGAGACTAGGTTCTTAGTTTCTAGAAGCTTCAAAGTCTGAGATCAAACGGCCTGAATGTGACAACTGACCCTCGACTGGGTCAGGCCATGGTAGAAAGTAGATGGGCAAGAGAGAACGGATATGAAGGGGAAAAGGGGGGAAAGATCTTTCATCAGGACCCCACCCTTACGATAACTAACACACTCCCAAAATAACAGCACTAATCCATCCATGAGTGCACTGCCCCCATGGCCTCATCACTTCACGAGCTCTCCTGTCTCAGAAGTGTCACGTTAGGGCTGAGTCTCCGATGCCTGACACTGGAGGACGCACTGAAACGATACCAGGAAACGATACCTATGAACTAGTCAGGTGGTAAGGTGATTCGTCGACAACCAGCTCCTGCCTCCAACTCAAATGGGCCTAGACCCTTGAGACTAGACAAGACTTAGATTCCTGGAGATGGGCTTCTGACACACAGACTCAGGCAGGGTCCAGAAGGACTGATGAGGGATGGACAACCATGGGAACTCATGAGTGAGCAAAGAGAAGAAGAGTTCCGAGGACTGGGATCCTTCCCGAACACCAGTAGGCTCAAGAAACTGCGAGTTAGCCATGAATTGGGAGTGGGGTATTGCTGCATGCTCCAGGCTCAGATGCTTTATGCCTGACGCTGTATCTTACTGCTGTCCTTCTTGTTTCCTTAAGTGCAAGGAAATGAGGGCACAGTGACAAACACTGATTAACCAGAGCCCCAGCAGGGGGAAGGACGATGCTTTCCTCTCTTCCTCCCACCCTTTCTCTCACCCTCTTGCTCTCTCTGTCTCTGAAGATGCGCTGCTCTTTGTCCTAACCTATGGAACGGTGGGTTAATTGGCTTATAGAGCTGCTGAATATGGAACAGAGCCCTAATGGAGATTTAATCAAAGGAGACAGTTATGTCGAGTGAGGTGTAAAAGCCATTGAAGATGAATGGAGATGGATACAGTTTTCCCCCTAGAGTTATTCAGAGCCATTTTAATAAAGTGCAAGTTTAACTATGGGATGGATTGTGTGACCGAGTGTCATTTGGCTGTAGGGCACAGGAGGCCAGGCAAAGGAAGGGAGAACTTGGAACGGCCCTCAGAGAAGGTAGAGCCTCTAGCTGCCTCGTACAACACTCCCAGGGCCAAAGCTCAGCGCTCTTGGCCAAGCCTACTTTCTGCCCAGTGGCTCATTTATGTGACTCATGTCAGACATTGGTTCCTGTGATCTCCGTGGCTAGTGGCCAGTCCTCTCAGGGGTTAGCGAAGAAGGCAGCTCCGGTTCATGGCTGTGACGAGAGATCCATCAGCTCACCCTTCACCGGGAATGTCCCCTTGAGTCTCAGCATCCTTCCTTGTCACTCACTCTTCAGGGATCAGGTCTAGGGGCCCCTCTGAGAAGAGCTTTAGAAATACTTCTCTGCTCTTCTCTACCAACCTCTTCACCACGTGGTATTATGATCGTCTTCCTGGCAGATGTGACGGCTTGATTGTGGGCTGTCCCACTACAGGCTCCTGGGTTTGAACACTTGGTCTCCAGCTGGATGGAGGTGCTGTTGGGGAGGGTTATGGAAACGCGGTGGAACCTTGTTGGAGGAAGTGCATGACTGGGGTAAGGCTTTGAGGTGTGATAGCCTGAACCCCA